GTCGGTCCAGGATATCCCTGCCTACTCGTTTCCCACTATCTGACGCATAATCCAGTCCACCACAGTTAGGAATATCATTGGTGATAATAAGCACCCTTGTCTGACTCCTGTGTTTACTAGAAACGCCTCACTGAGTTTTCCGTTTTGGATGGATCACTTGACATGTGCCATTGTCGTACAGCTAGCTGTTGAATAAGGTTGATGAAAAGCGTCAAAAATACTATCGGGTTTTCTAAACGAATATATGCAATAGAGACGTTCCAATGTTTTTTTCCATTTGGTTAACTTTCAGTTGTCAGAAAAGCTTATGAAATATACGTTTGTTCAAATGACTGATATTCATTCTAATAAATTTGTCTCTTTTGTAAAAAAGGAGAGAAATTCTCTTGATTACTGCTCCAATTTTCGTCTTTCTCTAGTTTGACAGTTATTTTTCTTTAATCGTACAGTCTAGTAGCCTCCCTGGAGCTCTATTTAATATTCAAGTGTTGGTTTTCAGGGACACATACGCTTGAGAATAAACTAAATCAACCTCAATCAACACCTTTATGACAGTTCCACATGTGTCAATTGGTCCATAAAGAAAAACTCAGCGAAACAAGACTGCTCAACTATCACTGACGACATTCTTGATTGCGGTGGACTAGATCATGAGTCAGACTGTAGGAAGCGAAAAGACAGGAATATGTTCAACTGATAAGAAAACTCTAGAAGATGTGGACTTCATGGACAATTTACTTCTAATGTCGCTTAAACTCGAAGATCCATAGGCAAAAACCAACAAGTTGTTGGAAAAGGTGGGCAGCGAAGACAGGAGGACTTCAAGCGAGCATAGAGAAGGTAGAGGTGATGAAGACATCTAAGCAACAAAATCAATAAGCACCAATATCTATCAAAGGAACGAATTTGAAAGAGGCCATTTGCTTCACTTATTTAGGCAGAGTTGTTTTAGCTACAGGCGGCACGCGTGAAGATGTTAAAGCCAGCCAGGATCGGAAAGGCAAGGCAGACCTTCATCATTCTGAAATCAGTGTACGATTTTGCTGCATTCAGCATAAACAACATAATTCGGATTTTCAACATCAATGTTAAGTCGGTTGCTATACATGGGTCAGCGACTTGGCGCCTCACAAAATACATTACAGAAAGACTTTCAGCAACACCTGTCTAGTCTCGATACTGAAGATGAGGTGACGAGAGAGCATTAACAGCGAGGAACTCTGGCTGGAAACGAACCAACCAAGAAACTATTGTTCAACAAATATCCCAGAGAAAATGGAGATGGATCGGACACCGGCTGAGGAGACTGTTAGCTGGCATCGTAAGCCAGACTGCCGATTGCAACCCTGCTGGGAAACGAGTTGAGCATTGGTCCGAGGGTGACATGGATGACACTATGTGAGGAGAAGATGAAAGGTTATAAGCAACCGCCGGGGCGATGGTAACACCACCGAGCAGTTTGTTCAATTCCTCGTCGTTGCGGATGGCCAATTGCAAGTGACGAGGGATGATACGGGTCTTCTTGTCGTCGCGCGCGGCATTACCAGCCAATTCAAGTACTTCAGAGGCCAGGTACTCGAGGATAGCTGCCAAATAGACGGGCGCACCAGCACCAACACGTTCAGCGTAGTTACCCTTGCGTAGAAGACGATGTACACGACCAACTGGGAATGAAGATCAGCACGAGTCTTTGCCTTCGCTCGAGACTTTCCACCTTTGCCGCGACCACTCATGATTGTACGTTGGAGCAGAGAAACGGCCAAAGAGGACTTTGGAGAACACCATGAATTGGATATGCGCTGTTGAAATACTATGCTCCACTCAGAACTTGAGGGAATCAATAGTGACTGACCAAAAGATTAAGTTATCTAGACTTCTAGTGAGTTGTGACCAGAGTTTTTCACCGAGTCAGGCGCAAGCGCTAATGCAAAGACTGGCAGAAGTTAAGACTCATGGGCCATTGGGTTCCGTCCCAGTAAGAGAATAGTCAAATAAATGTAACCCCAACTCGAAGGTCCTGGGTTCAACCCCAGGTGTTGTAATGGGGACTTGGTGCTGAAAATACCGAGTTACGGTGAAACTATCATCCAGTGTCCTCTGACTTTCAACTGGTCTCTAACTGATGTCAGTTCATGATTTAACTTCAAGCTCTATTTAATATTAAATTCGTATTCTTCAGTGCCGCCATGCAGATAAGGTAACAGTATATTTATGGAAATAATTAATTAGGTCATAAGAAAAGACGGGGTTACTCGAATGATTGAATACCGACCTGAGAGTTTAGGGTATGCAGAAACAAAAATACATAAAAGCTCACAAAAGAAGTATCTTTTTGACTGAGGGAATGTTATTAACGCTGTTAAGTAATTTACCATAGTATTGTAACGACAGAAGACAAGGGTCAGGCAACAGATCATTTATTGAGAAATCAAAAGATATCTATAGATTTTTATGTAAATTATTATTCCTTATTATTAGCAGAGAAACAACGTCTTCTCACTGGAAGTTAATCTGTCATCTCTTTGTGGCTGTTTCATTGATGGTCAGATTATATATCTGCAAATCGTATCCGCCCACGCAGTCTTTGTTCTTGTTTTTCTCATGACCAGGAAGTAAACATTGACGTAAATTGCTGTCTACCAATTTTGGCTAGCAGACAGCTTTCACCACAGTACTATCCTAAGACTAGGACTTTTGTCATCAATTCTTCATCTGTTAATTTTTCATGAACAAAAACCTTAGAGCTCATCGGTGGTTCACAGGTAGAATGCTCGCCAGCCATACCGGATATCCAGGTTCGATTTCTACCCGATGCACTCCTAAACTTTGCCTAGCCGGTAGTAAGCCCGAAAAAAGGTGGAAGATTGGGCATGAGGCGGGCAATCCTACCCAATAGAAACAATACCACTGCTATTGAAACTTCAAAAGTTTGAAGCCCTATGCCCAGTCGGGTAGCGAAGAGTGAAAAACATCCTAGACATCTTTAGGATTTGTTAAAAATCAGTATACATTCAACCTCTTTTTTTTAGTATTTGGTATGCGAATGTGAGAATCTAGTTACTTTTTCATTACACGTAGATGTAATCATACCTTCTTGTGTACTACATGAAGTATTAAGAATTAAAATTTCGATAACTTTGTTTAACGACCTCATTACGAAGGAAGATACAGCAACCATAATTTTAATACATTTGTACAGCATCACAACTACAAAGTGTTAATTGATACTGAAAGCCTACTCTTTGGTGGTCACACATCAGCTTTTGAATGTTGAAGACATAAGGAACCCACAGATTCTCAATCATAAACATAGTGCTTCAAGTTTTAGGACTAATTCAGTCGCACTACGCTCCCATAAACGACCTGGTATGTCCGCGGACGGGTACACTTCAGTGTTCCTCTTGAGAAATGCTCTTTTCTGTGGCCATGCGTTAATAGTCTCTGCCAGGTAGGTATTCCTATTCACTATCTCTACTCAGTGGGAGTGTTCCTCATAAAAGTGAAATTACAAATGTGAACGTTCGGCGCTTACCAACTGGACTTGTAGACATAGACGTCAACCTAGAGGAGCTGGTAAACCCTGATTCCAAACCTATGGTGTAGCAAGAGCACCAAAATCCGAACGGATCGATAGATGCATGGACGTGATTTGGTCACCAGAAACCATTGGAACGCAACTGGTGACGCCGTTCAACTGCCTTATAGTTGTGACTTCAATTCAACGGCTTAGGATTAACCTGATTCAGTCTGGGCGTCCGAGCAGTATCCCAAACGTCGCATATACACACACTGAAAGATTTTGTGTAGCGCATCTCTTGGTGTCCACAATGAACCAAGTTTGTTTTAATAATTATTACTATTATATTATTGTTGTTTCCTTTAATTCCTAGAGGAACATAGGGCTTCAGCCGTGCGTCTCCATCGCGTTCGCTTCTCTGCTAGAGTCTTCACCTGGCTCCAAGTCTGCCAACACGTTTTCATCTCCTCTTCATATCACCTCCTCCAACTCACCCTTGCACTGAAGACCAACTCGCCGATTCCCTCTCGGGTTCCACTCGAGCAATGGCTTGTCTAGTGATGTCACTTGATGCATTGTTTCCTCAGAGTATGGCCAGCCAATCCATCTCCATTTCTTCCTGCCTATTTGTTTCACAATCGGTCCCTGGTTGGTTCGCTCATTGCTAGAGATGTCTATTGCTGATCTTTTCTGACCGGCCGGCCATCTGATCTTGAGTAGTATTGATCGAAGACATCTGTTGATGGTCTGTAGTTTGTTTGAGATGCTCTTTATGACTCGCAGTGCAAGTCTCTGATCCGTATAGTGAGTAGCAGTGACTGACTTCACATTTGAGTTGAAAATCCGGATCTTATCTTCGTTTTGATGCTGAGTGCTGTTGACATCCACACAGACGTGAGAGTAGTGAAAGGTTGTCTTGCTTTTCCGATTCTTGCTTTGATATCCTCATCAGTACTGTCCGCCTGTAGTTGAAACGATGCTTCCCAGGTAGGTAGGTGAAGGAGGTTGTTTCTTTCAGGTTCCTCCCATTTATGCTGATTGTTGTCTGTTGTTGTTGTTGTTCTTGTCCATTGTTGGTTTTTAATTAAACTAATTTGAAAAACACTTATTGTAGTGGTCAGACCATAAGTCCATAGAGTCGCTTAATATTACAATGATATAATATAGAGATGATAGAACTTACGGTCGATGGCATAATTCTGCGCGTCTTTTAATCATGACACTTCTTAGGAATATCAAAAACTCAACCGGAATAGATGTTACAGATGCTACAGCCTATACGAGCCATACTTATTGTTAAAAAAGAGGGAAATGATAATACTCTGCAGTTGCTCCATTCCCACCCCCTGCCTCGAGGCTGAAGTAGGCAGAGCAGACTTTGGAGAACTGGAACCCATTTTCCTGAAAGCCGACTAGCTACTACTACTACTACTACTAAAGCCAGTGAATCAATAAATTCACAATATCAAAAGAACAAACCAACTGTAATGCGACAAAAATATACCGTTTCTGTTTTAATCAACAATCTTTGTGAATTTTTTTTCCAAAAAAAGAAAAACAGCATAACAATGGAAGATACAGCCCAGAAGAAGGAGAGAGAAAAAGAATACAACATGACAGGAAGGCGGATTAGGGAATTATTACACAGTGTCAATTAATCCTTTCAAGGTAATGGAAAGTGGATTTGAGATTGTCCTGAGAAATTCTGGACATTTCAACAAACAAACAAACAAACAGACAAATACACCCCCATGCACACACACGCATGCATACATGCACATACGTCAGCCATTTAAGAATTGAGAAACTTGTCATGACAACGAATGATAAAGCAATACTGTAACAAAAACGCGAGACAAAGTGAGGTGGGGGGAACACGGGAGAATATACATTGGTACACAAACTGATTAAAATGTAAACTTGATAAAAAGGTCGTTTGGAATTCATTTGATCTTTCTTTTTACAATATGTTAACAACAAAAAAATACTGAAAGACACAGCAAAACGAAATACCACTACTACTACGACGCCATTTTTTCAAAGAGGAGATTATATTGAAAAAATAATAAATTTCAAAAATTTCGTAGGACGGAGAGAGAGAGAGAGGAAAAGAGAGAGACAGTTGTAAAAGAAATGAAATTGAAGAGAAATCAGGGCATTCAAAAGTAGTTAGTTAATCCCAGTAGTGGTCTTTTACTGCAACAATGTATGTATGTGTGGTCTATTCACAAGTAACTACATGCATGTATATGTATATATTGATGATCTTCTATTGATGAGATCTCAAGTGTGATATGGTTTGCACGAAAGTTGTAAGCCGGTAATTTCAACAGAAAATCGAACTGAAATACGATAAGACAAAAAACACCTGAAAACGCATCGTAAGCAAGTGGTAAGCAGAAGAACTCATGCGATATACCGTGGACGTATGTGTGTATATAAACACATATGTGCACCACACAGTTAACTTCATTTACCTGAAAGACAGAAATAATAAAGGCTTATGCATAAATACAAACTACACAAATAAAATAAACAAGATCAATAAAGAAAACCCGACAATATAATGGTAAAGTGATAAATATATCCTGCTTAACGACACTGATTATGACTTCCATGGTGACATTGAAACGTCTATGTAAAGGAGGAGGAGAACATATTGACGTTAATTCGATTGTTGTTGGTTTAGATTGAATTCTATCAGTCAGCTTAACAAGGTGGTCACTCTGCTCTGCTAGGTAACTCAACATCACAATGGCATTCTGAATTGTTAGTAAATGATGATCAGAGACAATCGTTAGGAAGTCTTGGACCTAGATTCTGTGCTGGTTGCATCAAACGGAGGACTAGACGTATGATATTAGTTGCTCACTGTCTAGTGTCCAAACAGAGTATCTAATACAGTCCTACAGGAGGTCTGTCACGAACAATATCATTTGTGCACATAACTGGCTGCCAGTGGACAACAGTCCTCCAAAGAAAGCAGAAATCCTAAATGCGATCAAGATACTGAACGCCATCCGGGAAGGCAGCAGGACCAGATGGAATCCCCTCACACCCCGAAGCACTTGAAACAGATCCAGAGACTGCGGCAGATGTGTGCTGACGTCGTTATTGGAAAAGGTTTGGAAGGAAGGGAAGGTGCCTACCGATTGTAAGAAAGGCTAGCTACCTTGTCAAGCTACCAAAGAAGGACTACCTACCTAGGCCTGAGCAAGAACGGGTGAAATCATGATCTTGTTCACGCGAAGTAAAATACTAAGTCACATGATCCTGGAGAGAATAAAGGATGTACTCCGCCCCACCGACCAGAACAAGCTGGATTCAAGAAAGGCAAATCATGTGCTGATCAAATTGCAACTCTACGCATTGTCATCACAGAACAAGGCATAGAATGGCAGTCAAAACTGTACCTTATTTTCATCAACTTCGAAAAGAACTTCTACACCGCTGACCAAGAAGTAATTTGGAAACCACTCCAACAATATGGCGGGCAGCGCCCAATTCTTTATCAACCTCATTCAACAGCTCACTATATCACTATGCCACGTGTCGGGTGATCCACAACGGAAAACTCAGAGAGGCGTTCGAAGTGAATACGGGAGTAAGACAAGCTGGCTGCATATTATCACCAGTGATATTCCTAATTAAGGTGGACTGGGTTATGAGTCAGACTGTGGGAATTTGGAAGATAGGAATACGTTGAATCGATAAGAAGACTCTAGTAGGTCTGGGTTTCGCAGATGATGTGTGTCTAATGTTACACAAACTCGAAGACTTGCGGGCAGGCGAAAACCAACAAACCGGCAGAAGAAGCAGGCAGCGGAGACAGGACTCCAGGTGAACATTGATAAGACGGAGGTGATGAAGATAACCAACCAACGAACAGCAACAACAACAACAACCAGTACCAATCACCATCAACGGGAGAGACTTGATAAATGGTACTTCCTTCACTTACCGTGAAAGAACGGTTCCAACAACAGGCGGAACGCATGAAGATGTCAAAGCCAGTCAGAATCGGAAAGACAAGATACTCCAGTTTGCAAATCTTCTCCACTCAGCCAGCATAAAGAACAAGATTCAGATTTTCAACACAAATGTGAAGTCAGTCACTTCTTCTACACGAGTTAGAAACTTGGCGTGAGCGTTCCGAAAAGGATTTCCAACAAGTTACAAACCTTTATCAACAACTACCTTCGATGGCCGCATACTGAAGATAAAATGGTTAGCCAGAAAGAATTAATAACGAGAAACTCTGTCTGTTAACAAACCACCCAAGAGGCGATTGCTCAGCAAATAAGTAGGAGAAAATGCAGATGGATAAGGCATACATTGAGCAGGCCATCGAATGACATCACGCTCAATGCAGGCCACTGCTCGAGTGCAATCCCAATGGGGAGCAACGAGTGGGTTATCTGAGGGTACCATGGAGGAGATCGTGTAATGAAGAAGAGATGAGAGATTATGGTCAACCGTGAACCCAGCTGAAGAGGACAGCACCATACAGAACAAAGTGGAGATGTCTTGTTGAAGCCTTATGTTACACTCGAAACCCAAGGGAGTAATTATAATAATAATAACAATAACAATAATAATATGTCCTCCTTAACTCTCTCTTGCAAAGTGGATCCTAACAATCAAGTTCGCACTATGGTCATTATCTAGGAAACTCTCCATCGTGAAGTTTTCTGAATTATTATCGTACTGGTTTAAAGTAAAGGGTAGGAAGCCATGGATGAACTTATGTTTTCTACTTACTGGCATTCATCGACAAGCAGTATCTGAAGTTACTACTGAACTTAATTTCGCCTTTCATGTATGCTCGAAAATTTATCTCTTACTATATGCATACTTCTTTTCTTATTGACGTTAGTGTGTTGCGTAATCCTGATGACATTTTCATCACAATTATGTAACTAACGATGTGACCTATTTTTACACACCTAAACATATTCCTTTCTAAGTTGTACATATTCAATGATTGTATAGATAGAAAATTCGACAGAGAAAGATCCGGCCAATTAAATCCTGACTACTAGAGGTAAACTACTGACACCACTGATACGCAAAGCGGATTGGACAGCGATACACATTTATCATTTCACAAAAAATTGTGCTAGTGTTATTTCTACAGTTACATTCCAAAAACCTATGATTTATTATAGTTTCTATCGTCAAGTTCATTTATGGCGGTCGTTCGGTCGGTTTTCGACATAGAACTTTGCACATATGTGCGGCAGTTCAAATCGCCACAATCCATGTAGCACACAAACCAAGAAAAGAAAGTAGGAGAAGTGCATAATAGAGACAGTAAACAGAGGTGTGAGACAAAGGTATAGTAATAAAGAAGAACAAAACAGTTTCATCGGAAATCATAAGTCACAAGGAGTGGATGCATCTGCGCCAGCCATTGACAACGAGGATTTTGAGCCATATCACCGATTGTCTCCAGCCACTGGTGTTTACCATCCCGAAGACCCCAACTAGTCAGGAAGTCTACACCTTCATTGACTGGTGCCATGTTTTCGTTTGACCGCCGCCAGCTCTTTTCCAGCCTGGCCCTATATCAGCTAACATTGCCCATTGTCGAGGAAGGCGATGACTAGGCATACGTAACACATGAACTAACCATCTCAGTCGATGTAATTTCACAGTCTAGTCGACTGATTTCCCCACCTTACCTAGCACTCGACGCCTAACCTCAATATTGCTCATCTTATTATACCTCTTCACACGGGAGAAACAACAAAAGGCGCCTATGATCAAAGACAGCTAATCTTTTCATGTCTTCTGCTCTCAATGGCCAGGTCTCACAGCCATAAAGGAGGACGGAGCGGACTGTTGAGCAGTACACACTCCCTTATGGCACAATGGGGTAAATAATACTGAGGTTAGCCGTAAAGTATTAGGTAAGGAGGGATAGTCAGTCAATGATATTTTGAAACTGTAAAGGATTGAGATGATTGGAGCATGGTGTTACGCATGCCAAGCCACTGCCTTCTTCGACTGGCAATTGTTAACAGACATCAGATTACGTTGGAAAAGAGTTAATGATGGTTAAATCAAAGCCTACCAGTAATCTATAAGTTCTTTGACTGTTGTTTATCAGCTGCGTACGGAGACTGCGTAGTTGTAGACTGACTTGAGACACTATGAACCAAAATGGCTGGAATGTTGGTGATAAGGCTGAAAATCGTTCTCATTCATTAACTGTTTGTAATCTCCCAGATTCATTAAATCCTCATTACTCATTTTTTTCTCCCGTACATTTCCGTTTATCATAATTCCTTTGAATTTTTAATTTTCACTACTTTTGTGTGGTGTATATGGGGTGTAACAACTTGAATTGTTGTATTTTTGTGCAAATCTTTACCTTGGAGACTTAGTCAGTCAGTAATTTGTGACAAAAACAAACTCAGAAATAGAAGGGAAAAAACATCTTTCCACAAATTTAACTCTCCATTTTTGATTGATTACACAGTCTCAACATAATGCTCCCTTATATTAAGAGAGTTTTCATCTCTAATCAATAACAATATAAATCAATAACGATTTATATACTAGATATATCGTACAGCTAAACAACAGTAATCAATCGGAGTGATTTGTTTGGTGGTGGCTAGACATGGGAACTGAAACTCGTCAGTTGGATGTACCCGCATCCTCAGTGAATGACGCTGTTCCCACTGAGACTCGAGCCCAGGTTCAAAACTCTAAAGCGTCATCCATTAGACAACTGGGCCATGAGAGAAGTGAAACAGTTCAAGCTGCAACACTACATATACGGTACAAAGATAGACACAAGAGAGAGAGAGAAAAAAGATATTTAAAAGAACTACGATATTTTCATTGGACACTAGTAACTAGTGTGACGTTCAAGGCTCCCTGTCAATTGTCTCCAACTATCTAATATCATCAGAACTATGATAAGCGGAAATGTGAGGGTGAAAGAATAGTAACACGGAAAAATATAACGATTTTTAGCGGATATGGGAGATAACGGAGAGTAAATGCGCCTGTGCTATAGAGAGAGAGGTTTCGAGCCATATCAACAACAGTCACAAGCCCATTGGTTCTTAGAGTTTCGAGAACCTCAGCAAGTTAGTTTAAACCATCAACCAGTGACTTTATGGTTGCTTTGATGCCAGGTTCTGATTTGACCAACTCTAACTTTTTTTTTCCAGCCTAGTTCTGTGTCAACTAACATTGCTCCACGAGGAAGGCAGTGTTTCAGGATGAGTAGCACGTGTCCTCACCATCTTGATCTACGTGACTTCATAACCTCTTATAGACTAACTTTCCTTACTTATTTAACAGTCTATCCCTAACCTAAATATTACTCATCATATTATATCTTTTAACAAGGCAGAAATGGAACGTAAACATCTGTGGTCAAAGACAGCTAATTTTTTCATGTCTTCCTCATAGAACGGTCATATCATAGAGCCATAATATCTAGATATCTAGATAGTATCTTGGTGCCTAGACACACACACCTCACTCCACCCTCTAACCCGCAAAAATGAAGCGATTTCAGAGACTCTGGATCACTCACTAGTAGAGTATCCACTGTCTCGACAACTAACTACATTAAGAAAGTAAAGAAAATACAACAGTGACACCAATTAAAATCAACTTACTCAGCAATATAAGGGGTAAAGTAAGTATAGCCAGGTTTAAAGATACACAGAGTGTAGGGAAGATGAGACGGAGGAGATTACTATCTATGATTGTTCTTGTTGTTGTTGTTGTTCTTTTTCTTCTTGTTGTTGTTGACCATTTTGAGTAGAAGAAATCTGTGAACGATAATCTAACATTTCTATTAACTGTTGGATTTCTTTGACAGCATCCCGTCGCATTGACCTATAGTCTTCATTTCCATCCATATTTAATGCATCCAGATTTAATATCATTTGTTCCATACTCTCCATAAGACATCGGTACTCTTTACTATGAGGTGAACCTATGAAAAGGTTATTAGGGTGTATAGAAAAAAAAGTGTTTGTGGATTGGTTTATTCTTTGAAAATCTAGCATGTATACAGTTATGCTATATAACTTACAGGCTTTCTTTGCACGAAACACTAATGCCGGAGAGATGGAGAAAATACATTGTTATCATTAATATTACCGATAAAATCAAATGATAGGAAATAATAGAATTATATGAATAAAACCATTGTGGCGTGTGCTACGGATAAGATTTATGAATAGTGGATTGATGCAGATTGATAGGAAACAGCCAAAATGGAAATCAACATTTTAAGTTAATGGCTGCAGAGGTAGAAGTGTCTATTCCTCAAATTTGGATCTAGTTTACGTTGTGGGCGTGAATTAATCTCATTGGACAACTTTTCGTCCCACAATTTAGCCTTGGGTCGACAGCCAACCAATTAGACCTAACCAACTTTTAATGTGGTTAAAAATGTATAAATACGATGTCTTTTTCCTTAATAAAAATGTCCGTTACCAACTATCTTATATTCTAACTTTACACCATTCCTTGAATACCGAGTAGGACATAGGGCCACATGGTTTCAGATTTTCAGTAGTGATAGTACTGTTTTTAGGGATAGGGATTGTAGGCTTCATGCTCAACGTTCCATCATTCTTAGGGATTACTACCGGCTAATGAACCAGACGAGGTTTAGGAGGGCATCGGCTTGAAATCGAGTCCGGACCACGTGTCATTGGTAAGCATTCTATTGCTGAACCGCCAAGGCACACTAATAATACAGATTATGTTTTTACGAGTTGATCACGGATTGATATCAGTTAGAGAACCACTGCAAACCAGCGAGGAGTACTAGGCAGCTGTTTTATCCTAGTTTTCGGAATCATCGGCAGTACGCACCCACTGGGATTCGAACCCAGGACCTTCTGGCTACAAGACAAGCTAGCATACCATTCAGCCACTGGAACCCGATTCAATGGCTCATGAATTCTAACTTCTACCTATTCGTGACTTAGCGCGACCCCAGCCAATGTCGTCGGTGGGACATCCATCCTCACACGTGACCTCTGGATGGACCTCATTGGTCAAGACTTCTCACTAGAACTCCAGGAAACTCCATCCTGTAGCAAGTCACTAGCACCAAATTATAGAATACAGATTATATAAAATTCACCAATAGGCATTTTGAAATATACAATTTTTGATTTAAAGACCTGGTCCAAAAGTCGTAGATGGAATCAAAGAGCTTTCATAGTCATGCGGGAAACGTTGATCAAATCATCGCCATAGGCGATAAGTATGAAGGTGAAACTTGTCTAGTGGATAGACTTAGCTCTGTACAAAATCATATCAGCTTTATACGTGAAGAAGCAAGTAGCAACTAAGCTGCATTTCTAGACATATTTTTGAGTCGGATGGTTCATTCAATAAAGCGATCCATTGACAGAAAGCCTACTTGAACAAGATAATATTCCAATTTTCAGTTTCTATTCATTACGATAAAAGAGATATAGGATTTAGCGTATCTATACAGCTGGATACAGCACATTATGACAATAAAATGTTGACTAATATACTTGTTGAAATCGAACATGCTTTGGAGTTTTTTAAGGAGGATAGTTAATCCTAAGACAGACCTAAATTACATCAAATTACCTTACAATAGGGAAATAAGTAGTATGACTTTAAGACAGCGACTAAATTCTGTCATCCACGAAACTTACTATGTAGCACGGCTTACAATTATCAAAAAAGCCAAAAACATGCTCTACTACAGGCATTAACGGTGCTGAAATGATTATGTCACGTCCCAAGTTGTATACGCATTTACATATGTGTGGATACATGAATGCAAACCAGCTTCAAACCTCATTAGACGTAGATGGCAGACTACCAGTCTCGTCTACAGTAAAACACACTATTGTTGTGAATCATGAGATTGATATCAAAACAGCCTTCAAGATTATCTACACGAAACCATCAGGTGAGCACATGGCCATCCGTAAAGTAACTCCACCCCATTCTGTGTACAGAAAAAAAATTATTACTCTTAGCCTACTTTCATAATTCCTAACTGGTTTTATTACTGAGATTAGTGTTAATTATTATCCTTCTTATCCTTGAATCCCTTATCACTTTGTTAATTTTAATTAGCCTTTTGTTATTTATGGAAATTGACCTGACAAGTGAATATGTAATCAGACTGTTCGAAATGTATTCCATAAATATGTCACAACATTTTTCAAATAAACTATCTCTCTTTTTTAATAATGCCATCGAATCAAAACGATAACAAATGTGTGGTAAATTAACTATATCGGATTTTTAAACTGACACTCAATATTTTGATCCAACCTTTTGCTTTTGTTACAAGGGAAGACAAAATGTAAAGCCTATACAGATCACTTTCATACAGTGTACCCCAGGTTCGAGTCCCGCTCCCAGCAGCTTCAGTCCGAAAGCGACTGGGTAGTATCATCAGCCCTTATACAGAAAACGTATGGGTCACAGCCTGGTACATACTAATAAATTACTGATTACTGTGTTGTTTCTCTTCTACTTAGAAGCTATACTACTGAAGAGAGGAAAAAATCGACTACTGAAGATTCCTATCCTTCTCAATATCTTAAGTTAATAATAAGACTGCATTAATGTACATGCATGCGATGTAATGCATGCGATTCGCCCCTGCAAAATGTAAGATGCTGCTACAGGACTGGACTACATCAACTCCTAGCTTAGTGATAGGGAGTGAAGTGATAGAACATGTTGACCACTTCACCTATTTGGGAAGTTGTATCAGCACCAAAGGATTGATTGGTGACGAAATCTCAGCACGTTTACAAATACCTCGGGCTGCTTTCGCTAACTTATACCGTCTCTGGAGTAGGCGTGACATCCGACTATCAACCAAGGGACGTGTGTACTGCTCATCAGTTCGCTCCGTCCTTCTCTATGGCTCTGAAACATTGCCAATACGAGTTGAAGACATGAAAAGCTTGACTGTTTTTGACCACAGATGTCTACGATCTCTTTCTCACGTTAGGTGGTATGATAAGGTAAGTAATGTTGACGTCAGGCGTAGTGTTGGGCAAAGAGGGAAAATCAATCGACGAGGCTATAAAGTTACATCGATTGAGATGGCTAGGTCACGTGCTTGCGCATGCCTAGCCATCGCCCCCCCCCCCCCGACGGGCATTACTAGCTGATATAGGTGCAGGTTGGAAAAGAGTAAGTGGTGGCCAAACAAAATCATGGCCTCATCAATCCATGAAATCCTTGACAGTTAAACTGAGTCAGGTAGGGAGATGCAGACTTCCGGGCTGGGGCCCACCCTCGGGACTCTAAGAATCACTGGCTGGAGACAATAGGTGACATGGCTCAAAATCGTTGTCAGTGGCTTATGCAGATGTATTCAGTCTCTGTATTCTTTCATATTCGTTTCTACCATTACTCATTCTGTTTCACTCTTATACTTGTCAAAACTTTATTGATTCTCTTCACTCATTTTCTTGTCTACGTTGGTGTGCTCTTTGGAACGTGGCAACTGGAACTGGTGCACTTCGGTGCCAAGTTCTATGTTGAATCCAGCCAGACATGCGAAAACCAACAAGTTAGCAGGAGAAACAGGAGATGAAGACAGGACTTCAAGTGAACATGGAAAAGACAGAAGTGATGAAAATACCTAATCAACAACAATAAGAAGAATCAATCACTATCAACTGGTGGAATCTGAAAGTCACTTCTTTCATTTACTTCACCTGGGTAGCATCATTTCCACTGCAGGTGGCACAGATGTGAATGTCAAAACCACGATCGGAAAAGCAAGACATACTTTCATTAATCAGAAGTCAGTTTGGAAATCTATTGTACTACACAGAAAGAACAAAATCCGAATTTTCATCACTAATTTGAAGTCAGTCAGATCTTCTATGTGGTTCAGAGACTTAGCGTGGGCATCACTAAAGGTATTTCGAACAGGTTTAGGACTTTCGCCTGCTGTCGCTCCCTGAACAGTGAAGATCATATAGCTGGCCAGAAACGATAGGCAACAAGGAACTCTGGGAACAAACCAATCAAGAACCTATTGGCCAAAAAATATTCAGAAGGAAATGTAGACGCAGTGGACATACGCTGAGTAGTAGGTTGAGTAACATCGCGCACCAGATCACGCCTCGATTGGAACCTGAATGGGAAATGACAAGTTGGGTGTTGGTCTGAGACTGGCATGAATGAGACAGTGTCAGGAGGAGATGAGAGCTTATCCTTAATCGCGGAGCCAGCGAAATGGGAGTGCAGAGAAGAGGGTGAAATGAAGATGTGACTTTGAAGACCTCTGTTCTACTCAGAACTTGAGGGAATGATAATACTGATAATACGAAACAAAAATGTAAACGAATACTTGTAGACAATGATTACAAACACACTGAATTAAACACTAGTAACTGTAATTATTTTATAGTATATGCTCAACTTATGTGCTCGCTTTGCCTCATAATTTTCTGAGAATATCCATCACTTACCTTCAAAACGATTTATTTCTGGTTGTAGAGCACGTGCCTTTGAAATGACATCAGTGATTATACTTTCGCAGTTAGAAATTTTTGCATTGGTTACCTGCTTTAATAGTAGTCAGTGTGTTAGTATCACATAAAACTTACCTGTTCACAATCTTGTTCGCCATTATTATTATTATTATTATTATTATTATTATTATTATTATTATTATTATTATTGATATTAACATTTCTAGTTGGTTGAGGTGAATACGCCTTATTTGTTACAGGATGTTCCCATTGTGTAGACCTGGTGTTATGATCTACGAAATACCATCTTCCTGTTCTCGGATCGAATCGCATTTCCCAACCAGGCGGTAAAGACTCTGCAGGATTCATCTTTCATACAATCAGAAGTAACAGATTTCTGGAATAAAACCAATATACAGAATCAATATTATAAGATTATATGATGAGTCTAAAAATAATAGTATTAGCCAAAAAAAATAGATCAATATTACTGTTAACAGACAAACTTGGTACCTTACAGACACCAAGGGATATACCATACAAAATCTCGTAAATTGTGCGAGGGCTGGGATACTACCTGGGTGCTCAGACCGAAGTAGATAGTTGCCTTAGGGAACCAACCACCCGAACTTATGACTTGAAGTCACATCCACAAGGCAGTAGAGCATCATTACCAGCTACGTTCCCACTGTTACCAGTGTCAGAAACAGGCTCATTTGCTATTCGATCGTTACGGATCCTGAGGCCCATTTACATTATAGGTTTGCAATCACGGTTCCCCGGCTCCCCTTAGGTAGACTAGCAAGTACACCCATCCAGCTGCAAGTGGTAGATGTCCACATTCGCTCTTTCACTTTTGTGAGGGACAACCCAGCCACGTGATGACAGTGAAAAGGACTTAACCCGGTAGATGTCATGAACGTGTGACCGCATGACAGTATTTCGAGAGGAATCCCACAGTCTACCAACGCTCGGACATACCAAGTCGTTTTTAGGAGCTAGCTCGTCATGTGTACAGTTCATCAGATTGTCAGTAGTTAGCAACAAAAAATAAGTACAGAAGATACATGAAAGCTATTTCTAAAAATCATTTAATGTATGCAGGATGGTCGGGGGTGGGTGCCTTGCGCTGCTGGTTGGCCACCCCTCCGCACACCTCTTGAAATACTCCCATATGACCGTGCGTCTTACATAGCCTCTCCTGAGGAAGTCCTACTCACTGCCTTCACGTGGCGGAGGTGTTTTTCACCAAAGTGAGAGGGCGAAAGCGGATGCCCGGCGCTCTTCACCGGGTTGACTGTCCACTGGATGACAGTCTAGGGGAGATGGCTAAACCCTGATTCCAAACCTCCAACGACTGGCGTATGAAGCTCACTGGAGCTCACCGGCAGACGTATGGACAAAGGGCTTGTTGGATGTCCTGGATGTCTGGCCCCATTCAAAAAGGCGTATGAACCGAACTCCGGTCACCGGCTGCCCTACTCCACTCCTACTGCCTTGTAGGTCACACTTGGTTGTGTAAAGGCTAGAGCTGTGCTCTCAAGGAAAAGGCCGAGCGATTCTGGGGACATCACTCGTACCAAATTCCCATGAAACTTCATGAACTCTCTTACAAACGACTCTCATCAGATCGCCGCGCCTGGGCAGCGATGATTCGAGATGTTCATGAAGCCGGCTCATCCTCCCGTAGGAGATAGCCGAAGTAAAGTAAAGTAAGTAAATTGCAAATAATCTATAGAGAAGCTAGTGAAAGGCGAAATGCGCCTTACATTTTCAAGTGTTGGTTTGGAGGAATTTGACTGACTTCAAGTTAGATCACAAACTGATATCATTTAAAGAATCGCTGAAAACCAATGAGTACTGGACAGCTGTGTCACCCTAGTTTTGCTACTCTTCAACAGCACGCACCCATGTGCTCCACTGAGAGTCAGGTTACGAGGTGAGCTCATGGATCATTCAGGCAGTGGGACAGAACCTAACGACCCATGAATTCTAAACTTCACCCAATTCGCAAGACAATGTCATCGACGAATATCTATCTTCATACCCAACTCGGTGGTTACTGAATGAGAAATAGATATCGGTCCTCCAACTGTGTCTGAAGTCGCATAAGTTGCCTGAAATCTAAAAAGAAGGAAATCAGTAGGACCTAGTGGTATGACGCAAAGTCTTCACAGATGGTAATAAGGTAAAGACTGTGGAGTTTCATCCGGTTACGAACTGCCATATGGTAAGTTGAGATGCACAATTTTTCGAGGAGACCATTTTAAACTCCCTGCACACGGCAGAAATATTTCACAGCTGTAGTACGACCTCAGACTCCCACCACACATTAAACCACTTATCCTATGATGGTAACTGCTTTTAAAACGACTAGTTCTTAGAATTCCAACAAAACAATCAGAAAAAAAATTATCTGAAAAGTGTGATGGATTCGCGCAACAACAAGTTCTAAGTATATTGATTCAGTGTTGACCCTTTATACTCTGTTAACTTCTATACAAATATGCATAACAAGGACACATGTGACAAGAATATACTGAAGGTGTTGCGCAAATACATCAACCATCTCGAACAAATAACGTTTTATTGTTAACTGTTATCCAACCAACCTGTATAGTATGATAGAGCCTGCAGGAACACTTGTTCCAGCCAATAAGGCTCGTCGAGCCACTGAGATATATGTATGCGTGTGAGAATATGAAGCAGTCCTGTTGGACTAGTGTAGATTACGGATTAATCCAGTTTATGGGAAAGGAAACATAGTGACAATCATGGGAGGATCAGCTTAACTCACAAAATATCCACGATTCTACTTTTCCAGTCCTGCGGAAACTAGGTGGAAACAACATACGAGGGAACCAAGCGGGCTTTAGGTCCGGGCAAGGGTAAGATACTCATATCTGCACCCATCGACAGGTTTCGAAACACAGACATACTTATTTTCGTCCAGTCCTTGCCATATTTCTTGACCTGGAGGTGGCACTTAACTCTATCAACCAAAAAGTGTTATGGAGACGTCTCGTTATGTAGTGATTGTGAAGAAAGTATATTACGCTCAGCATAGCATAACTGTAGAAGATCTCATGAAAAGTTCTCATCTGAAGTGACGACGATAGGTAATTTCCACTAGTGATGCCCAGTGTTAACACTTTTATTTAACTTTCTTGCAGATGTAATAATCGATATGACATTGGTTGACTTCGATGTTTCAGAGATTGACTTATTACCAGAGTGTTCTTATCACTTCGTGCAGAAGAGTAAATGTGCTTGGTATGCGATTGTTCAACTATATGAAAATAGTTGACCACAGATGTTTGTCTTCTATCTCTTGTGTTAAGTGGTATTATATGGCGAACAATACTGTTAGGCGTAGTGTTGCGTAAGGAAGGAAAGTCAATCGATGAAGTGATGTTACGACATCGACTAAGATATCTAGGATACGTATTGCGCGTCCAGAACTACCCTCTTCCTTGACGAGCAATGTTAGCTGACATCGTACTAGGTTGGAGACAAGTTAGGGGTAACCAATTTGAAACCCGGAATCAAACAAGGAAGTCATTGACTGTTGATTGGAGTCACGCAGAGAGAGATATGGAATGCCTGCCGGGATGCTAATAAATAATGGTTAGAGACTTTTGTAAATATGGCCTAAAGTCGTTCTCAGTGGCGTAGACGCATCCACTCTTTTTCATCCCCCAGATTCATTAAATCGTCATGATTCCCTATGTCACTATTCCTTCCGTAAATGTCTGCTTATAATGGTTCTTTTAAATTTCGTTTCTCTATTTACCATAACTTTGTGTGCTACGTAGAGTGTGGTAACTTAAACTACCGCACCTGTTTGCACTCCTATGTTGTGAATCAATCAGTCAGCGTATCGAAATGAAGATGACGCTGAAGGACTGATCTGAACCAGCTCCTCGTTTAAAGATGGGGAGTGAAGTGATCAGATGTGTTGACCACTACATCTACTTAAGAATCCAAACTAAACTATTTACCAACAAAATCTCAGTACAAACACACAAGGCTCGTCCAACACTTACCAACTTGTGTCATCTTAAGCTAAAGCGTTTTATCCAGCTACTCATCAAAGGACGTGTGTAATAAGCAGAAACTCATTCTCCATCGTACTTTATGCCCATGAAAAATAGCTGTTGGAATTCAAAGATATGGAAAGGTTATTAGTTTCTGATCATAAGTATCTGCGTTCCACGTCTTACGTCAGGTATAATAATATAGTCAGTAATAGTGTTAGACGTAGTATTAAGTAAGGGCAGAATGTCGATCACCGTTCTGAAGCTCCATTGATTGAATGAAAATGTTTCACCAGTGTGTAATGAAGTCACTGTCGTGCCCAACTTTAAAATGGATTCATGTAATGCATGTGACACTTGTAGGGGTATCTCTTTACCTCAGTTCCAATAACAGGTCTTTTATATTCCACGCGATGAGCCATACATTTTTATTGTTAGGATTGGTGATACTACCCAGTTTCCCAGGCTGAGGTGGATGGGGCGGAGTTCAAAGCCAGGGCCTACTGACTGGAAGCCTAGAACTTAAGCTAGTGAGCCACATTTGCTACTAGTTACGTCATAAAATATTGGTTGTTATTTTGCCTGTAGGCTATGAAACGCGTCAGAAACGGATTCGCGAAGAGCAGCCTGGGTTTAGTCTAAGCCATGCATGAAGTAATGTGTTAACCATTCGTCAGCCACTGGAACACCGCCACTAGTATTGCAGGGCAACATTAGTCATATTTTTTATATTAGGGACACCGATTTGTCAGACAGAACTGCGCTTTGTTAGTTATAGAGGTGTTTCTGGAAAGTTCGCTAACATCCCGAAAGCACTATACAGAAACGCCTCAGGTATCACTGCTGTTTTCAACCTACAGTGGGGTCAGATAGGGCTGTCCAGTCTCACTATTTCCCTCTAATTTTGCCATTGGTGACATTCTGGGGACAACTCTGGGGCGCGTGAGCGATAGTGGTGATGTAGATCTGCTTCTTGGAGAAAGACTTTTCGATTTCGAGTATGCGGAACATACCATCTTACTGTGAGACAACATTCGGACCACCTAAATTGCACTAAATCAGCTAGCGACCAATGTTTGTGCTATGCAACAACTAGTAGGAGCCGGCAGTCGCAATCATGTTCGTACGTGAACCGTCTGAAGTTGCCAATAGGTCTAACTGACTCAGTTTCCACATAGAACTTCACACAGAAATGCCACACTTTGCGTAGCACACAAATGTAGACAAGAGACAAAAGATTGAAAAGAACTAGAATGAGCAGAAATGTACAGGAGGAACAATAGTAGCATGGAAAAACATGACTTAGTGGATATAAGAGATCACACAGAGTGA